GACCAGCCTTTAAACTTGGGCTGGAAATGCCTTCTGTGGGTCTGCGTGCTGCCCAGCTCACACCACTACCCACCTTGTCTATTTTACAGAATCTGGTCTATGTGGTTATTTCCTGTGCGAGCAGTTGATGGGGCTCTTCCAGAGCAGGGACTCTGATTAATTCCTCCATAAATCCTTAGTATGAGATGCTGGGTCATCACAGTATATTGTAAGGGTCTACGGGTTGATAAAATGGTGTTTCTATTCAGTTCTGTGGGCAGCTTTAAGCTTTTTGCAACAAATACCTTTATTCATGCTTGTCCTGTGTACAGCAAGCTATTGCATGCTGGCAAAACAAGCAAAACCTAGATAAGATACAGCTCCCCTGTTAGGAACTGCCTTCTGGTAAGTCAAGAGGAGGGAGGACGGAGTTTCCCACACAGAATCATCAAGTCTGGCGCATGCACCCCAGCTGAAGGACATGTTAACACTTTCATTTAGTAGGAGAGAAACCTTTCCCTGAAAATACCTTTCATGACCCTAACAAGTGCCCCCAATCCCCATCTTCTGAAATTGCTTCTATTTCCACTGTGCCCTTAGTATAATGAGGTGATGCCATGCCGCAAGGCTGAACCATTGCTGTCCCCCGGCCAGCCAAGCGAGGCCGGCTCTCCCCTCCTCTTGGGGCTTCCCTGCTTCTGCACACTGCTCGCACTTCAGGGAAATGAGAAACCAGTGTCTTCATTAAACTGTCCACAGTGATTCACAGATGCCTCCCCTGGAGCCCATACATAACTCAGAGGCCATAAGCTCGCTGGGGACAGGCGGCTTAAATTGCTCCTTCCAGGATGTGCTACCTGGGCATCTGCCTGCCTGGACATTTCTGGCCACCCTGGGGTCCAATTACTCTGCCCTGTCCCTGCCCTTTTGAGGATCCTAGACCCCAACCCCACTCCTTGGCAGCTAAGGGTGCCAGACGGTGTTGACAGAGTGTCTGTCCACTCTGGGCAAAATACAGCTCCTGTGAGACAACGTGCTCTCTCAGGGGAAAACGAGCCACACTGACAGGGGTCACGGAAAACCATGGGGCAAGAAAATGAGCTGTCTGTCTGATACCGTCTTTGGTCATGGCAGAGAGGAGCCAGAGTGAAAGAGGGAGCTCAAACTTTGTTACTTGGCTTAGGGGGTCCCCCATTCCTGCTGCCCCTCAGAAACCCCCTGCTGGTGTGCTGGCTTCAGCCTGTTGAGAGAAGCTGCCTAGGTGTCCCCAAGACCTAACTGGACAGGTCAGCGCATCATACGCCATGGACCACTGGGATGTAAGCATAGAAGAGATCAGGAGGATGTGAGAAAGAGAATTGATTCCTAGGTTTGTTCTTCATACAGAGGGGGCAGCTGGGTTTTCTCGACCGGATCCTGCAGAGGCAGGTCTGTTTGGAGTGCAGGGAGAATTTGACAGAAATTTTAACTGAGATCCAAGCCGAGACATTTGTTAGGTTAATGAATACGCAGAAACACCACTCCCATCCTTACCCCTGCCTTGGGTTAACCCATGTACCATGCCTCCTTCCTCCCTGGCTAGCTCCATGGCTCAGGCAGCACCTGCTTCTCCCCAGTGGCTTCCACGAGTTTAATCAGCATCACACCGACTGTCTTGGTCAGCAGGGGTTGAGGGGCCAGAAGTGTTTGGATTTGGGAGTTTTTTCCCTCCCACCACTTTGGTTATGTGTTCACACAAAAAATTAAATAAGTTGGAAATGGGACCCATGTCCAGACACGACATTGTTTTATGTTTCCTGTACCCCTTGTACACATTAGCTGAAGGTCATTTCACCAAGTATTTTTAGTGCATTTTGTCTGCAATCTGTCACAAAGATCAAGTGTGGAATAGTTTACTTGGGTGGCTTTTCACAGCTCCATTTCAGATTTTGGAACATTTTTGATATTTGGATTTGATTTTGGATTTTTGGATCAGGGACTGATACCGTCGGTATCAACCAGTCTTTCAGTCTGGATGAACCATTATGGACATTACAACAGGAAATAGCAGTGGTGATGAGGAAAGCTCAGAGAGGTGACGTCATTTTCCCAGAGACACACAGGAGGGTGACTGCTGAGAAGGAGCTGGCATGGGCACGCAGCTACAGTAAGTGTGGACTGGTTGATGCCTTCACGGACAATTCCAACCAGCCTCCTGGGTCAGTGAGAGTGTTAGGTGTGTTTTTGGCTTCTCGGAACATCTGGAGCTTCTAAGGCACCCAGTGTTTACCCCAGGGATGTGCAATTTGTGCCTTCTCTCCTCGAAAGGCTCCATGTGATAGAACTAGTACGGTCAGCGTAGGACATGAGGCACTCCTCTTTCCTTGGCTGCTTCAACGTGTTTGGGCACATTGGTTCCCTGACATTCCAGCTGTGCAACTCCTGACAAAGGAGGGGGTTGTGCCGTCCTTCCCTGGAGAGGCACAGGGAGGGTGTGTGCTTTGCGCAATGTTACCTCGTAGTCAATAGCAGAAGCCGGCATCCTCGTGCCTCTGCTCTGGGCATGAGCCAAGCCAGGGGAGCACTGGCCATTCAGACTGCCAGCCAGGCAGCCATCACACACTGGAAACTTGCCATGAGCCAGTTGAGGGAAGGGAACAGGAGCTCAGGATGGACAAGGTAGAGCTGGAGCGGGAAGGTGCAGGCATAGTTCAAGTGTGATGGGATGTTTGAGGAAACCATTGAAGAAATAAAGAGTGCTGGCAACAGGAAAGAAATGTGGAGCAGAGAGCTAGAAGAGGAAACAGCAGAAACGGGTCCTACAATGCGGTAGTTAGAACAGATTTGCTTATGGCCTGACAGGGGCCCCAGGGATTTTTCTTTCTTTTTTTTCTTTCTTTTTAAAGATGTATTTTATTTTTATTTGGAAAGAGTGACAGAGAGAAAGGGAGCCAGAGACGGACCTTACATCTGCTGATGTCTGCAATGGCTGGAACTGAGCTGATCCAAAGCTAGGAGCCAGGAGCTTCCTCTGGGTCCTTCAGGTGAGTGCACGGGCCCAAGGACTTGGGACATCCTCTATTGTTTCCCCAGGCCATAAGCTGGGAGCCAGATTGGAAATGCAACAGTTTGGACATGAACCAGTGTCTGTTTGGAATGTTGGTGCTCAACTGTGCGACTAGACTGTTGAACCACTGCTTTGGTCCCAGTTTCTTGGCTCTGATCATTGGAGATATTTGGGCCAGAAAGCAGTGAGGAATCACTTTGAACTGCAGTTGGTTACTGAGGCAGTGTGTGTGTGTGTGTGTGTGTGTGTGTGTGTGTGTGTGTGTAAGGAAGAGAAGAATGGAGAATACCGAGTAATTTGCATTTTGCTTTCTGACTGTCACAGTGGGCTTCTGGGGCGGCTCTTATGGCCTGTCTCCACCATCCATGTCCACCCTGAGCTGCTCTTCAGCAATGACTCTGCAAACGGCTCTTTGTGGTACAGAGGTGAGCTTCTGGCCCAAGCTCTTCAGCTTACCACCACTCTGTCCTTTCCCTGTCAAAGAACTGCACTGTTTGTTCCAGTTCATAGCAGCCCTTTGCTACCAGTCCAGCCATTTTCATTTTCCAGCAATCTCAAATGAGCATTTGTCACTGACCGTGAGTTACAGTCGCGGTCCATTCTTGTAACACAGGAGAGTTCAGGCACTTCTAGCTTCAATTTCTCTGAAAATGAGCTTATAACTTCCTACCAACCCCATTTGGATGTTTTTACAACTCTCAGTGCTTCAGCATTATTACAAGTAACAACTGCATGAGACGCATTCTGGGCTTAAACTCGTCCACCCAGGTTGACGTTTAGTAACAGCAGAGAAGGTGCTGCCCCTTCTTCCTCAGACACCTGTCGGTGTCCTTGCAGGCTGGACTCAGCGGGCTGCACCCTCCTGGGAGTGGACTGATTTGGACTGAGAGAACCCCAAGGGGGAAAAAAAAACCAACTTCTTTGGGATCTTGAAACCCCTGTAGCCAGTATGTGATGGAGTTATTCAGGGTGGTGAATGAACCACCACATATTTAATTTTTGAAAAGAACTTCAGTGTACCCCGGTTTGAATCTCTGAATGAAAAAGGACAGAGGACCAGTGTTGTAGTGGGTAAAGCTTCCACCTGCAATACAAGGGCCAGTGTAAGTCCCAGCTGCTCTACTTCTGATCGAGCTCCCAGCTGATGCTCCTGGGAAAGCAGCACAGGATGGTCCCTGCTACCCACAAGAGAGATGAGGGTGGATTTCTTGGCTCCTGGCCTCAGCCTGGTCCAGCCTTGGGTGTTCGAGGTGTTGAGGGGTGAATCAGTGGATGGGACATCTAGCTATGTCTCTCTGTTTCTCTGTAGCTCTGCCTTTCAAATCAATGAATAGATTTTTTAAAAATGGAAGACACAGTTGAGAAGCAGCTCAGTTTTATGCACAAAGAACAGTCTCACAGAACAGGGATGGAGACAGCTTATGATGAAGCAGCAGAGGGTCTGCAGTCTGTCCCTGTCTTACCAGACGGGGGATCTTGAGCAAACCTCTGGGCCTCAGATCCCTCTCTGCATGTGAATACTAATTGTACTTACTGGCAAAACTTAACACAGTTAGATAAGATCATATGCACAATAGAGTTGTCTACACTAAATGCTTAATTCTCGGAAGCTACATTATTCTTTGGCACTGAGGGGAAGAGCATTCAGCTGCAACATTTCTGCATAAACTATAACATCAGTGCATGAAGGCGGAAAGGAGCTGAGGTAAGGACAGGTGGCACCTGGGACTAGAGCCTTCTCCCTGTCATCATGGGTGGTCAATTCTTATTACTGGGAACCCAACTCTTCACTCAGTGTTATTTCTGATGGTTTGACTACCTAATGTCTTTGCCAATCAGGTATTTCTGGCTGTTGGATTTGAATGGCCTTCACACCAGAAGAGAAATGAATGTTGGACCTTCTGCCTAGCTTGTGGTGAGTGTGCAATATCACTCTAATTTGGTATCAACAAATGCCCCTGTTAATCAAACTCACCACACAGAGTCCTTGGTGAGCTTTGAACTCACGTTCCCATCTTCTTCCAGGAAGATGTCCATTTGCAAATTGGCGTTATTATCATGGGCCGAGAAATAATTGGTAATGACCCTTGCTGGTATTCCCAGGCATCGCAAAACTACAGGAAAGAACAGACCACACAATTAATAAGTACACAGTAAAAACTCCTTTCTCGGCGGGGAACTTGCTATTTTCCCAATACAAAAGATCCCCTATTGGAGAAAGATGACTCAAAAATCCCATGGGGGTGCAGAGGAAAATCCTGCTCTGTGGTCTTGCAGAATGTCCGGTAGGCCAAATGAAGCCAATGGCCACCTGCTCCTGGTAACAGGATCCTAATTGCTCAGTGTCTAATGCTGTGGTCATTAGGCAGTATTACTTTAATCCTGTCTGTGGGATAATGCTCATGAAAAATGAAGTTCAAAGACAAAAACAGCTACTAGGACGTGAATACCTCACAGAGCACGTCTTAAGTGGAGTTTGCTACCCCAGGTGGAATTCTCGTGTGTGACACTTGGTGGAGGGTGACACCACAGATTCGTTTTAATGGTTTGATAATAAATTACCTGGAAGTGTCTCTCGCCATATGTACCTATCGATTAAACTTAATCTGAATGCCCTCCTCGGCTCCCAGGACGCCACACATCAGGGCTCATTGGAAATAATTCGGCTGACAATTTTAAGATTAATGACTTGGCTTGCTGGTTTTTTTCCTCCCTCCCTAAGAATAGTTTAGCATTTTTAAGCAAAAGATTATGTGCCTTCTTCCTCAGAACAACCTTGCAAGTCCAAGCTTTGAGTGTGGGAGCGACATACATGTCCTTCCTCCTAAGGGACATGACCTTAACCCCCCAGCCAGCAGTCATGCCAGCCACATCACCTCCCATCCTTTCTCTACCGATCTGCAGCCTCTGCCAACCACAGGCTTTGGCAGTGCAACGGACGCTGCTCATACCCTAATAACTGAGAGCGTTTTTCTCTGGCTTGTGGTTTTGGCAGTTCACAGTTGACCACTGGGCGGGTCAGGCGTCTGTCTGGTGGGGTTGGAAGACGACAGCAGCAGGACTCGTGTGGAGGAGTGGTCACAATTTTGAGCCCTGGTCCGACTTCACAAAATCCCACATGGCTGCAGTGTGGCACTTGCAGAGTCGGCCTGACTCATCACCTTACGACGGACAAAGCTTGACTTGGTGAGCACCCGATCCTCCTTCCCTCCAATTTCTCAGCTTCAACTTCACTCTCACTGCGTTTTCCCTGTGCTCTTTGGCCTTTTTCTGCAAGTTATTTAATTTTTTTTTGAAAGGAAGCTTTGTAGAGAGAGAAGGAGAGAGATGGAGAGATCTTCCATCTGCTGGTTCAGGCCCACATGGTCACAATGGCTGGTGGAGCTGGGCTGGTCTGAAGCCAAGCACCTGTGATTCTTCTGAGTGACCCACATGGGTGTGGGGGCCCCAGTTACTTGGGTCATCCTCTGCTGTTTTTTCAGGCACATTAATAGGGAGCTGGGTTGGAAGTGGAGCAGCTGGGGCTCAAACTAGTGTCCAGATGGGATGCCAACACTGCAAGCTGAGGCTTAACCTACTTCACCATGGCACTGGTCCCCGGTTTCTAATTTTTCTCAGTTTGCCACAAAACAGGGATTTCACGCACAGATCTGATGATCATTTTCTTTTTTCTTTCTCTGTTTTCTTTATATCAAAGGCAAACGTAGTGTCCTAGTGTCCCATGAGTTTGTAGTTGTAGGGAGCTTGTGTCTCTTTCAGTTGCTTGGATCACATCGCAAGGTTCCTTGAATTGTCTCGGCTTGAGAACCTTCACGAAGGGAGTGCCCTCTAGCCTTCTGCCTAACACGAGGTTCAGCTCCTCTCTAGAACTTCTAGAGATTCCGAGGAGACTGACACTTTTGGCTTTTATTGCTCCCCAGAAGTCAAGATTCCTTTAGCCGTGGGTACACATTCAAATAGCTCAGAAAGAATTTCCTGTGGCTTGATGCTTTGGGGAAACAAAACAGAACTTGTTGCCTTTCTACCTGGATTGCCGTTTCCTTACAATTCTGAGCAGAAACACGTGGGTTTCCAGCTCATTGAGAAACAAGGCCTCATTTGAGGCTTTTGCCTCCAGCCTCTATTTAATAGCACATGGATCATGAACTCAAGTAGACCTTGAATTCCCCAAGTCATAACTTTTTGGCTCTGAGAGAGGTGGAAACTTAATTCAATTAGAGGTGTTCAGGAGGTGGGTCCTGGTGGGAAGCCCTTGCGTTATGGAGGGTGGGTCCTGGTGGGAAGCCCTTGCGTTATGGAGGGTGGGTCCTGGTGGGAAGCCCTTTCATTATTGGGGGTGTTTCCTTAGAAGGAGGTGGGCTGTTCTCATGAAGCTTGGAGGTGGGTGGGGTAAGCTTCTCCCTCTGCTTCCTGGTTCATGGTGGGAACCCTCTTCTTCCTCTGGTCTCACCAGGCAGTGGACCCACCCAGAGGAGGCCTCCTATTGTCAGCAGCCTGTAATCAGTTACCCTGCCTATGGTGGCCAGTGCATGTGCTGGTTGTGTTCTGATCAGAGAGGGCTAATCAAGCAGAACCCTCCTTATTCATGAGCAGTGAGAAGGGATGGTCCAATGTGAGCATGTATTTCTCTGAGACTGTAGAAATAACATGTGAATGAAGATCATTACAGATGAAGAAGACATGGTGAAATCAATTTATTTTTTAAAAAATACCCACTGATTTAATAAGTGTGATTCTGACTGGGCTGAGAGAGGCAAATGCCATTTAGAAAAAATAAGGTATGAAGCTGAAGAGAATCATCCTGCTGCCATGTTTTGTCCTACAGGTAGGATGTTGGGTGGATTAAAATCAAGAGAGGACTCTAGGGAGGCAAAGATCATTCATTACATTGTGGTATCTAATTGCTCAGAGACACTGGGACACACATGCAAAGCTGGGGATGGGATCTCCTGTCACAACCCCACCAATGCCTGATGTAAAGATTAGGGATATGTGTGCACACCTTCCCAATAACAAATCAGCAAGCATGTGTCATTCCTTATCATTTACGATTTTAGCTCAATCTTCCTGATGGGTGCTATCTTTACTGATTCCGTGTTGAGTGACAGAATATGCAGAAATAATCTATCATCATTCCTGTAAAGATTCTACAGCCAGATAGAGAAACGCTTAGCCTGCTGGTCCCAGGGCAATTTAATCGTGTGTTGACTACATCCCAGAATGCTCACTCATAACTTCTATGGAGCCCACAGGGACTGCTAAATCTCCTTTGCAGTTTATAGGGAAAATGACTTGAAGTGAAATTTCCTTTGCATTAAAAGCACATTACCCAATTGGATACTTACATGTGTTAAAGACACCAGCAAACACCCAGCACTGGCCATACCGGACTGGGTTCCCGGAGCTCCGGTATTCCAGTAAAATATCAACACTTCCTGTCCAGGCTGAGGGGGGCACGCCGTAGGCATAGGTATTGTCCCAGCTTCCAACGATGACACCCTCATCATCTTTAGCATTAATCTAAACAAAGCCATGAGACATAACAAGGAAGAATGGTCATTCAGATGGGTCCTCTCCAGGTTATGGCTTGTGTAGCTCAAGCTTCCAGTGCAATCCATGTGTCCTGCATAGAGACAATAGTCCCTCTTTCGTCCAACTCACTGATAGGTGGCCCAGGAAAATAATGCAGAAGTCAGGTGTGTGAGGTTAAGCCTCTCGAATAGTTCAGTTTTTATTGAGGTGAAGTAGGGGAAGAATCTGACCTCTTCTCTAGGTCATCAGGAGAAGACGGACCCTGGGTATTCGGGTTGAACTAGAATCACGCAGGAGAAGGACGTGATGATGAAAATCCGTGTAAGAGGACTGTAAGCAGGGATCTTGTGTTGGTGCCAGGGGTCTCAAACCTGACAAATAAGAACTTAGGGGTCTGATATGCTTTGACTTCTATGATGAATTGAAAAGTAGCAGGTGCTTCCATATGAACTATATAGAGTTAAGAAAACAGATCACCCTCGCTGCTTTAACAAAGGGGTCAGTGCTGTGACAGAGCAGGTTAAGGCAACACTGGTGATGTTGTCATCCCAGACAGGAGCATGAGTTTGGGTCCTTGGCCTTCTGCTAAAGCTGTGAGGCAGCAGGGGATGGTCCAAGTACTTGAGCACCTGCTACTCATGTGGGAGACCTGGATGGAATTTACGGCTGTAACCTCGCTCAGCCCAAGCTGTTATGGTCATTTGGTGGGTGAATCAGCAGATGGAAAACCTCTTTTTCTCTCTCTGTCTGCCATTCTACCTTTCAAATGAGTAACATAAAAATGTCATTAAAGAACCATCTCATTATGAGTGTTCAAATGATTAAGAGTTTTATGATTATGTTAAAAGGACTTGGAATATCATGATTTGAATATGGGGGAGACTCACATAAACAGAACATGGTAATTTTGAAAACTTGAAATAATCTGTCCATAGCCGGTAGCAGCAAACAAAAAGCACAGAACCAAAGACCTTTCGTGTTTAGACAATACAAAAGGCCAAGGAATAAAGGCCAAGGATGCTCCGTGCATCTTGCTGGGTTTGCCGTCTACGGGCAGATCTACCCTCCTGCTGTACCTTCCCCATGTTTCATTGCAGTCAGAGGAGTCTAGTAGAGAATGCTGGCACTGGGTCAAGACTGTGATGTAGATGGGTAAATCACTGCTCTCAATGCCAACATCCGATATGGGAGCATGAGTTCAAGGCCTTCTTCATTTTGTATCTGGATAGATCCAAATCCTGGATCCTAGCGCATCTTGGAAGCCAGTGAACGAGAGTCCAAATGTATGGGCTCCAGCTTCCCGTAGGGGAAACACATGTGGACTCCATCCACCTACACATCCATGTAGGTGGGTGGAGTCGAGAGCCTGTAGCCATCCCAGGAGTGCGCCAGTGGATGGGGGCTCCGTCTCCCTCCTCTCTCTCTCTAACTCTGCCTTTCAAACAAAACACAGAATTTCAGTCTCACTGCAGATTTGCACTTTAATATGATCTGCAAGAAGTTTGTATAGCACAGGTCTGAGTTATGCTGAAAAGACATTAGTGAGCATTGAGAAATGTTTGATTAAAGCACGCGTGTTTGAGTCATTAAAACCACAGAAACACTATTAATATAAGGTAAGATTTTATGTGTTTATTTCCTCAACAACTAATAACTCAGCTTCAGCACCTGCCAGGCCCCTCTCTGGGGATTACTATATTTAATTGTAGAAGAATCTGTGTTCTCCAGTGATTTATGAATTCACGGGAATGGAGATGAAATCCACATCTCTCCAAATACTGGCAAGTATTAGCAAAGAGTTGGCCCTCAATGGACATTCAATACTCAGATGTATAGTCAACAGCTTATAGGCAGTGTGCCTTGCACGTTGAGGAAGAACTTAACTCTTCTAAGAGGCCAGCAAGAGGAAGTAAGGGTTATTGGCATTAAATCAGAATCATGTAAGCACAGAGTGGGATTCAAAGGATGGGTTAGATGGTAGTGGGAGTGGCACTGGGATACTAGTAGAGGGATGACATGAAATTAATTCCTGAGAGGAAGTGGGCTAACAAAGACCCTCTAAGTAATGGAAACATAGTGGGAACAGTTGGAATTAATGCTTGATGAGATGAAACAATATGGAAAGTTCAGGAATCTGATGGTGAATTACACATGGTTGTTACATAAATAGACAGTATTGAATGAAATATAAAACACACAAAAAGACTCAAGATGTGTGAAAGTGCCTTCCATTGTGAATGACAAACCCTGCCCTGAAATGTGGGGTTCATCTTAACCCTGAGTGGCACTTTACAGATGAGCCCCTGGGCCTGGCCATCCAGAAGATTCCCACTCAGTCACATTTAAATGCAGGTGGAAGAGTTACCACCCTGTTAATGGGCTTAGTGTTTGAAAACATTCTTTGGAGTTTTCTGAAGGACTTTGTTCAGCTAATTGCAAGTTCATTCCTTTCATGAAAGCTTTGGCTTTAGTCTGAAGATCTGTGAAATGACCAGGATGTAGCAGAGGTTAGCCAATCAGTCTGGCTTTATGCTTAATCAATACTTCTCACAGTCAAAGTGGTTACTCTGAAACCTGTATCTATTACAATTAGTCCTGAATAATGTCTTGGTAGGTCATGATACGGGTTGCACTGTGTGGCTTGGTGAGTACACTCACCTTTAACCTCACGTGGTCATTCCCCTATCACTGAGGAATGGATAGCTCAGAGGTGAAAGTTCCTAAACTGTGTTTCTGAGGACTGATTTTTCCCATGAATGGCCATTAATTAAAAGGACTCTTTATAGCAAAAGACTGCGCCTAATCAGTGGAGCATCACTCCTTCTTTTAAAGACCTGCTAAGGGTTGATGGTGAACTGTTCTCCTGTTGCTAGATAAATCATAGTTCATGTTTAGTTGCATTTGGCCAGATTAGCTACTACATTCTAATTGTGGCATTGATTTCTGGGAAACTCAGACACTGGAAGAAATGTGTTTAGTGACGGACCTAAGAGGTTAAAGCAGTATCTGCTGTGGACAAGAAATGTGTGAGAGGTGCAGGAAGGGCATGCCGCCCTCTTTTGTGGCTGGATGGTTTCCTAGCGTATCATGGGCCCAGGCTTTGACCAGCAGCAGAGCGAAATGAATTGGTCTGGTGTTCATGTACTCAACACAAATCCAGAACTACAGGCAGGAAGTGTTTCATGACATGTCCCCGCTCCCCTCATCCGTACTGGCAAAACAAAAATCTAGCCCCAGAACATTCTCCATTAGCACTAACAATCACACAACAAACTTCAAAACCTGATTCGGAAAATAACGTGGATTGTCTAGACACAATGAGACACACCAGCAGTCTGAGGGGATGTGCTCTTGAATTAGAAATTCTAACAGAATCTGAAAAGAAGATCTAGAATCCAGTTATTCTAACAAAGACTGTCTCCTCAGTTCAACTTCCCTTGCTCTAATCCCTTTCAGGGTAGTGAAGAGACCATAGAATTTAGATCACAGCAGACATCAAACTAAGCTTACACGGAACAGACTCGAGATTTCATCTGTTTGAATCAATAGAATACCTGCAAATGAGCTGCGCAAGCACGAGCATGAATAAAAAGGCAAACAAATGAACAAACAGACAAACAGAATGCCTCAGGAGAAGGGAGAGGGTGGGGCAGGCAGATCGGGCAGATAATGAGGGGACGGTAAGAATTACCTCACAGTGTCTTAGGAGAGCCCAGATCTAACAGCAACAAACCGAGGGCCAGATTACATTTTGGCAGAACTAACACACGAACTATAAGAACACAATAGACACTGCTGACAATAAAGCCAAAGACCTAGATGACCGGTTGAAGCGACGGAAGAAAATACTAATGGAAGAGAAAAAAGGGATGAAGTTATTTAAAGGGATGCCAACGGTTACGAGGGGCAAACATCATATAACATTAGGGTAAGTGACGACCTTTGGCTACAGACCCAACAAAAAAAGCAGAGCATATACTTCTAATGTAAAAAAAGATTAGATCATTGAGAAAAATTGAACCTGAAATGGTCCTTGCCTCGGAATTTTAGTTAACCTGAGCTTTAGGAAAATGAAATAATACTTGAGTCATTTAGACAGGGAAAGCAAACTTAGAGCAAGGGAGCCTGTGGGCTTCTCCACAGCATTCTACAACAGCCAGTCAATATTTATATAAATCCGAGAGAAAGAAACGGTTTCACATGACTATTCTGCATAGCTAATATAGCGTGCAAGAACCACGAGGGCAAGCAGCACACATATATTACTCAACACGGGGTAGGGGAGTCTCTGGGAACACAGCAGCCATCCTAATCCAGCTACCGGAAAAGGGGTAAGATGGTAGATACGGCCTGAGTCACAGAACGTGGAGACCAGCGACTTCCTTGTAAAAAGTCCAGAGGAAAGAAGAACTCACGTAACGTAAACACGTTTGGGAATTCTAGTTACACAATACGTTTTTTGGAGGTATTGCTATTTTTTATGATCTTTTACTTGTATTAATATGAAATTGTCATTACCTATTACATTTTATTAAATGCATTGTTATTTACTGTTATTTTTATTAATATAACATTTCATTGATACAATTCTAAGAGCATGACCCAATTTTTCTCCCTCCCCCAACCCTACCTCAACCCCACCTTTCATTCTTTTAAAAATTTTAATTCCTCAACAAATTTTTTTGCAATGACATAATTTTAGTACATTTTATAATTGCAGGCCACTAATCATTATATTTACGTAAAAAGTAGAAAGATCATACTTTCACAGGAGTATAAGCAAGAACTAAAAACAATAAAGTCAGAAAATATCTATTTCATTCCAATACATTTTTGTATTCTGTATTAACTATCATAGAATAAATTTGAAAATGGTTAATATAAAAACAATAATCATTCTGAGAAAAAATTAGACAAGAAAATGGAAAGAGAACAAGAAAATGTTAATGTTTTAACATTGAACTCTTGCAGCTAATTGGCAACATCTA